CTAGAGAGCCGTGTCTGCATAGTCATTATCATTTCAATTTCACTAAGTGCCAAAAAGCTATTAGAAGGCTCAATAGAGTAGCAGTGAGACATCCTGGGATTACCTTAAATGAGATCAACTATTTCCAGTGACTACACTATGACACTAGATATTCTACCCAGGACTCATAAGTGAGGCACCAATGAGCAATTTTAGAACAACTGCATTCCAATTACCCAAAGTCTTCTAAACAGTCACTACTGTGAGGTTTTCAAACAATTTCAGAAGTAGTAAAAGTTATCATTCTTGGGAACATTTAAGAGGTATTGTTTATATGGTTTCAGGCACTTGTAAAAACTACCAAATTCCAAAGAGTAGTCTCGGCCTTGGCCCTAGAGTTAGTTCATTAGTTTAGCAGTGTTTTAAGAACATGGTAAGCAACATAATTTTCACCAATGAAAATGGCTACATAATCCATTCTGAATTACTATCCTCATTTAAACAGTTATGTCTTGAAGCTTTTTAAACTTATGTAGTGGTGTTTTAAAGACAAACAACAAATATCTTAAATTCTTAAGCCCTACAGAATATTATCAAGCACATAATGTATGTAAAAAGTTTTCATTGCACTGTTTCAACAGCCAGCATTAGCAACAGGTATGCTCGAGATTCAGAAAAAACTACTTTGTAAAAAAGCAACAAATTCTGACATGCACAGTTCTAAGTAAACAGCTAAGTAACTAGTTAGCTAAGTGTCAGATTTCATTTTGACTTCATGTAGTTTTCCACTTCATTAGGAAAATTAAGTACACATTTTAATAAATGAAGTTTTTACAATGTAACACCCCAAAGTAATTTTTTCACAACTAATGTGTATCCTAAATGTAATTCACAAGCTGCATGTTGTAATATGTTAATATAAAACAAAAAACAAAAAATACACTCACTCCAAAATATGAACCATCTACTACAAATCAGTGATTCTTACTATTAAGGGGATGTCATACTCCTCTGCAAATCTGGTGAAAGCTATGTGTATAATTTAGAGAATTTATGGATGCCTTGAAGCCTATCTAGGGGTCCCTGAAGTTTAAAGAATCTTTGATTAGTGGAAAAGAATGGAGTCCAAAATTGATCCAAGAACATATGAAAATTTAATACATATACTGAGTAAAAGAACTATAACATACAGTGAGAAAAACTGATTATTTAATAACATAAGTGGCTATTCACAGAGAAACTATAATAAATCTCTATAAACACATGAATGCTTTAAAGAGTTAAATGTAAAAAATAAAAATTATAAAATACTATAACCAAATATAGAGACTACACAATCTCGGTTGGGAAAAGTCTTCTCAAACAACATAAGAAAACTACTGATAGATTTGACTGTAAATTTTATAACTTCTGTATAAGCAAAATACACCATTAAATCAAGGAGTAAATGAGAGACTTGGAGAAAAATAGATGTAAAACATATGACAAATAAAGGTTTACTGATTCTAATATATATTTTTAAGAAACTAAAATTTGGTAACATAAACTACCCAATAGACAAATGGAAATGAACAAGTAGTTCAACCTAAAAATGTAAATTAGTGCAACAACATATCATTTCACAGCTTCAGACTGGCAAAAGTTAAAAGCATATAGAATTCAGTGTTTGTGAGTATATGTTGGCAGTGTAGATTAGTGTGACCTTTTAGAAAATATGTTGTTTTGGAACATAACAAATTTAGAAATCTGTTAAACTACAAAATACATATTTCCTTTGTCCCAGGAATCCCACAGATAGAATTTATCCTAGTGAAAATGATACCAACACATAGGAGTTAAATGGGCATATATAAGGATGTTTGTTGTAACATTGTTTATAACATCAAGAAAGAAAAGGAAAGGGAAGGAAAGAAGCAAAAGAAGTGGGGAAAAGGGACTGAATGTCCATTATTGGTGTAATGGCTTAATTTATAATACATGCATACTATGCAATATTCTACAGCTATTAGATGAGTAAATCAAATATATATGTATTGACCTGGAAAGATGTCTATGGCATTAAATGGAAAAAAAGCAAGATACAGAGTAACATGTAGATCATGATACCGTATTCATTTTTTTAAAAAACTATATTATGTGATATTGACTTTTTTAGGAATTCCCATTTATAAATTTAATTTCCAAGCAGTCAGTGAATACACCTAACTTTTGAACACATCTACTGCTCTGTTAGAGGTCTAACCATCAAAATACTCTCACGTCAAGGTGCATAAGGCATTATCAGACAATACAATCCTTTGAAATCATCTGTAGCACAGAAAGATAAACAATAAAATTACTTTTAAGAGCAAAAATGGTTAATAGTTTTTTCTAATGCAAAATAAAAAATACTTTTTTTTTAATATTGTGATTTTACACTTACGGAAAACCACCACAGTTTTTTTTTTTTCCTGTAGAAGAAATAAGCTACCTATCTCAGTTGATTCATTGGGTAATATAATTATGTTCATTATACAAATATAAACAAGGGCCAGACATTACACTAAACCAATTCCTTTGTGTCAGAAATTGGATTTTCTCAGAATGATATTCCTTCTTAGCAATACAATTAAACATTGGCATTACAGTTTAAAAATCCTATAGAAACTGCTAAATCTTAGTGTAATGTTAATATAAAGTCCCAAGTAGTCTGATATAATTAAAGGAACACTTGATTTGGAATCAGATATACCTGGATTCCAATACTGGTTCTGACACTTACTAGCTATGTGATCAAGTTATATAATCTTTGAGCCTGTTCTCACATCTGTAAAAATAGCTTTCTTTGGTGTTCTTGGAAGAGGAAATAAGAATATCACATATAAAGGTGCCTAGTACAGAGTCTGGTTGTCAAACTATGCCTTCAGCCTTCCTTTTCTAAGGAAGATTACTAACTAGTAATATCTGTTTTAGTACAGCCTTTTATAAGACTTTTTTTTAATTGAAATATTGCTGATATAAAGTTACGTGTTATATTGGCCATGTTTTATTAGTTCCTTCAAGTGTTTTGTACTTGAGGCTCCTCCTTTTCTTTGGCTATTTTTGAGAATTATTTAGTTTGATCCCCATTTACTATTTATGATGAAATTTAAAATATTCTTGTAAAAAAAATTACAAAAAAAACCACATTATTTTCTACCTGTGGCTTTCTACATCTTTAGATAACTCTCTAAAATCATTCAGGTTGTGTCTATGGAAAACATTTTCAAGCATCAGGAAAAAAGTTAGGCAAAGAAAGAAAATTAAAAAATTGAAGTTATCCTAATGTCTAAGAAACCCATATAGCAATACAACAAAGAATAAGTACAAATTTTAGTTTTAACTTAACTTTCGAATTTCTCTATGAGTCTTTTTTTTTTCCTGTAAAACTGGGTCATTAATCAAACCAGAATATGACCCTGAATGCTGATAAATAGATCCAAATGAATAGAAAAAACATATTGGTCAACCTTCAATATTTAAAGTGAATGTTTTTTCTATTGTACAAGACACATATTAAGAAAATCATAGTAAATAAATTTGATATCTCTTCAAAATTGTACAGGGTAAGTTTTACTCAGTTGAGGACTAGAATTATCCTTAGCTCCTCTTCGACTTTACTTGCACTTCAATCAAATTTGATGCTCTTTGATACACTGCTCTTTAACTTCCTCCAAGGCTTTTGTCTATCAAAACCGCAAATAGCTACTACTTGTAATGTTACAATTATTTTCTGATACATTTTTCCTAAATACTAATCATCACGAACAGCAACATCTAGCTGTAATTTCTTAGTCTAAATTATACTGTTGCTGGTATTTTATGGCTTGATTCTCAAAAAGTATTTTAAACGATGCTGAGGTGAACGTGTATACATAAAAACACTTCACATTACTTTTCCGTATTCAAATTACAGCCTCTTGAACTGATTTTTAAGTGTCACATACATATTTAAACCAAGGTGTATCGCTGACATTCTTTTAAACACTCGCTCCCCGGCCCAATCTCCTCCCAAATGCTGCTCTCAGGTTCCCTTCTAACCTGAAGTTACCTATTAAAGCTGTGCGTTTTTCTGGTCTTTCACAACTTCACTATCCAACTTTTTGTACTTCAGACCGCTTCTCCCATTAAAGTAAGTACTGTTAACTCCTTAAAGTACTTAACTATAAGGTTAACTCTTTGCATAATCTTACTTTTCCTTTCGTAAACTTAAATCTCAATAATACCGTCAGCGTCCCCTCCCCTTCTAAATTCACATCGACATTGCCGCGAAGCAATGTATATATATATATATGTCCTTACGCCCAAAATATTAATCCGTTTGGCGCCACGAAAAAAATTAGATGCCTGGATTCCTCGTTTCACTACCTCGTTGAAGCGTTTTATTTGCTTTCCTCTCCTACCTGGGCAGCCTATTTCTCCCATCAGTTTTGTGGTCCCTTGCTGCCCCCAGCACAAGAGTGCAACTCACTACAGCGTATTTCTTTTACTCACCATCATTCCCAGTATCTCCCTCCATTTCTGCTCATTTATCCCTTGGGGAACCTCCCCATCCTCAAAGATTCCGTATCCAGGTGCCCGCATCTTAAATTAGAATACCCCTCGACCTACACTGCCAGGTCTTTCTGGACGACTTCTAAGAGAACACAAGAGGCTGTGCGTTTCTGTCTCCTCCAGCAGTACCCGCTCCCCACCGAGTTCGGTCTTTTGCTCTTTTCCCACGGAATGCCTACTTCGGAGTAACCCTGTAGCTGAGCCCAACCTTGCAACCTCTGCCCCGTGACCTCGCAAGCCCAACACGCCACTCAAGCTTATTTCACACCATTCTTGGAGCGTGTGCTCTCGATGTCCCCAGTCCCAGATCTCTTTGCAACCTCTTTCAGACTCCAGCTCCCGAGCCAAACCACAGGTTAGACGAACACCCACTTGCTAGGGTTGCAACACCTCTCTGGCCCGGCCCCTTCCACAGCACTCACTCATCCCAGAGGGGCTCTGCTCCTCACCTAGCTTCGATCGGGACTCCTCCAGTTTCTGGATTTGGTTCTCCAAGAAGAGCATCGCCACCGCGAAGGCCACCACCGCCAGCAGCTGCAACTTGGGCGGCATCATAATCCTGAGGAGCCCCATGAAACCCGCTGCTCGGGATCAAGACATACCGCGTAGGGCGGGAAACGGGACCCCAGAGGCGAGGGAGACGCCAGGAGGAGCCCACCAAGCTGGTAGAAAGGGAAGGAGAGCGCGACAGCAGGAGAACCACCGCAGCGACCCCCCTTCCTGCCTCCCCAATCCCCCGCCCCCAGGCGCCAGCACCAACGCCGCCGGTGGCCGTTTCCCCTCGGCCGATTCAGCAGCCGCCCCCTCCAGAAGCCCGCGCTGCAAACACAGCGCGAAGCGGCTGCCGGGCTCTCGCCTCCCTCTACTGCCTCAGTCACCGACCCCCGCGCC